ATGTTTGGGATTTAACAGAAATGAATCGCCGGATTTCACCTTTGAAAAATACTAAGAGCCGTGTCGCTCGTGATGCTTTATTGCCGCCATGTACAATACTGATTTTATTACATTCTCCTTCTTCGAGAGCGCGCTAGCGCCGGTCTTCTTCTTCGCGGACGCTCATGCGCCAAAAAACTGACGAATGCCCATTCGCTCGCGGCCATATTACGAATCGCCGTACGCACGCAAACGCATCTACAAACTCTAAGTGAGCTCATGAACATATACCCCCCGGCATTGAAAGATTTCTTTCAATGAAAGAATTAAAACATAAACTTATGACTAAACGAGGAGTAGCTTAATCGATCTGCTTGACGCAACAAATAATAACGAAATATCTTGATGAATTATAGCAGAACAAATTTGACTTTAAATTCTTATGTAACGCAGTAGTGGACTGTAACTTATTGTTGAACAAATTAAACGGATAAATTCGCAACTTATAGAATATGATAAAATAAACGCAAACACGAAAATAATTTCGCAACTTATAGAATATGATAAAATAAACGCAAACAAGAAAATAATTTCGCAACTTATAGACTATTGGTTTTGATCGCAATCGTCGAGAGGTAACGGACAAAGCTTAGCCGTAGCGATTCGAATATTGCCTGTCGCCGTCTTAACAGTGACTGCTCTCACTATATCATCTCTCCCTGGGTGAACTGTGACGACCCGGGCTAACTTCCACTTGAATGGAGGAAGAGTATTGTCTTTAATTAGAACCATGGTGTTCTCTTGAATCGATTTGACCGGCTCTTTCCATTTAGTACGTTGCTGAAGTTCAGATATGTATTCCTTACTCCAGCGCTTCCAAAAATGCTGGTGTAAACTCTGAACCAACTGCCACCTAGACAACCTATTTTCTGACAGATGTGTTAGTGACGGGTCCGCCATTGATGTAAACGTACGGCCGATAAGAAAATGAGCCGGGGTCAACGGTGTGAGATCGTTTGGATCGGATGATAGTGGTGTTAACGGACGTGAATTTAACGTAGCTTCGATCTGAGAGAGTAATGTACTAAACTCTTCGAAGGTTAATGCTAGGTTACCTGCGATACGTTTCAGGTGATGTTTAGTTGCCTTAACACCTGACTCCCACAATCCTCCAAAATGGGGGGAGTAAGCGGGAATGAAATGCCAATTAATTCCCATATCGTTAATCGCTTCGCTAATGCTTGCACCTTCCTTCTCCATCAGCTCGCCTAGCTCTTTTAGTTCCCTATTGGAACCTACAAAACTCGCTCCGTTGTCGGAGTATATATGAGCCGGCTTACCACGCCGAGCTGAAAATCGTCTGAGCGCCGCGATAAACGCCTCAGAAGTCATATCTGAAACTAACTCTAAATGAACAGCTTTGATCGAGAAACAGATAAACAGGCATATGTAACATTTACTTGTCTTGCATCCTCTACCTTTTCTGTCTTTTATCGAGAACGGACCCGCGTAATCCACGCCTGTGACATGGAATGGCATACTAATCGATACGCGAGCCTTGGGTAATTCACCCATTAAAGCCTGTGCCTGTCGTGGCTTATTTCGAAAACATCTAATGCAATCGTGTACTATTCGCTTTGCTAAGTTCCTACCGCCAACTACCCATAATTTTTCGCGTATGGAGGACAAGAGCAGTTGAGGACCTGCGTGTAATAGTCGTAAATGCTCGTCTTTAAAGAGTAGTTTTGTAAACGGGTGCTTTGCAGACACTATTATCGGGTGCTTCTTATCATTATCAAAATTTGAATTTCCTAGCCTGCCACCTACTCGTAAAATGCCTTCGCTGTCGATAAATGGATTCAACGGATTCAATTTCTTAATCTGAGCAGAACTGCGTTTGTTAGCTACTATATCCTTTATTTCCTTAGGGTACGATTCCCTTTGAGCTATTTTTAAGAGCATGTGCAGCGCCTCGTTGAGCTCCGCTGCAGCAATGGGATCCGTTCTGCGTTGGCCTTTGCCTTTACAATTATTTGCGAAACGCCTACAATACGCTATAGTTCGAATGAGACGCCTCGCACTAGACTTGCCTTCAAAAATCGATGGTTCTGCTGACCGTGTCTGTCCTAACATGCAGTGTTCTTTCTTGACTTCTAATAAGCTATCCTCTATGATGCGTGTTTGTGGCCAATTGCTAGCGTCTTCTGCTAGAAATGACGGTCCGTTCCACCAAAGCCTTGACTTGCTTAGCTTGCCTGCGTCTAAGCCACGTGAGAGTAAATCTGCAGGGTTTTCTGCTGTGGGAACGTGTCGCCATTCATACGCCTCCGTTAAACGTTGTACTTCGGCTACGCGGTTTGACACAAACGTTTGCAATGTGCCTGATTGCATTCGTAGCCAACTCAACACTATTGTTGAGTCACTCCAACAAGTGATCTTCTCGAAGGAGATTCCAAGCGACTGTACTGCCTTGGCCACCAGGCGGGCGAGGAGGAGGGCTGCGCACAACTCTAAACGAGGGATGGTTTGCTGCTGGAGAGGTGCTACTCTACTCTTTGCACATAACAATGACACCTGATAATTTCCTTCGGGATCTTGTGACCTGATGTATACGCAGGCACCATATGCGTTTAGTGACGCGTCTGAGAATGCGTGTAACTGCAAGCTTGTGCAATCTTTACCTACAACACTGCGCGGAATCTTGATTTTGTTTATCTCTTGCATTTGCTTGCGGAAGGCTGACCACTTTTCATGTAACTCTGCTGGTAATGATTCGTCCCACGAAAGTTTATACAACCATAATTTTTGCATCAATATCTTGGCTATGATATTGCATGGACCGAGTATTCCTAAAGGATCGAATATCTTTGCTATTTCGGCTAGGATGTGTCTCTTCGTTATCTTTGTTTGCATGTTTTCTTTCACCTTGAATGTTATGTCGTCGGATTGCGCCCGCCAGTAAGTTCCCAGTGTCTTCATTTGCTTTCCATCTGTGAACTCGACGTCTTCCGGAAGCTTGTCCTTTGTGGGGATGTTTGCTGTTATAGAAGGTTCGTTTGATAGCCATTTTCGCAACTTGAATCCTGCTGTGCCTAGGATGTGCGACAATCCTTGTATAATTTCCTTTGCTTCATCAATGCTGTTAGTTCCTGTTAGCAAGTCATCCATGTAGAAGTCCTTTCGAATGACCCTTGCTATTTTTGGGGCTTGATCTGCGAACTCGTTTGCCAACTCCATTAGACATCTGGTAGCCAAGAAAGACGCTGACGCCGTACCGTAAGTAAGTGTGTTTAGCTCGAATGTGGATA